GCTGGGTTTTTCGTCCCCCCCGCCCCCTTAAGTGCTCCGCTTCCACAGAGATAACAAGGTACATTAAAGAACGCACAGTCACTCAGTTGGATGAAATGTCCCCTGCGGTAAACTCAGCCCGCAGGGCATAATCAAGTAAATGGGCAGAACCATGGAAGAAAAATTACGCGGCCTGAGGGTGTACTCTTAGGCCTACTTAAATGTGCTGCGCAGTTTCAGGGGGTAAGTTTGCTAAATGAAAAAAAAACATGTACAAAAACGGAGCGCGAGATCTGTTGTATTCAGGCAAATTTAAGCAAAATGAAGTCAAGAAGGACTTTACGGCATCTGTCGAAATACACAAAACATTGTCCGAAATACCTAGGCATTCTATAGAACAGGTGAAGCCGGGAATTTTTAATCCACAAGGATAGAAAAAAGACGAGCAGGCCAGTTTACTCGCTTATTCGGTGTCATCAACCATAGACATCTAAACGTGTAATAGAAGATTGACGAGGTAAGTCGCCTTCGTGGACCCCAAAGGCTCGCTGCAAGACGAAGAGGGACGCGTTTATTTTCTTCCTGCATCGACCAGGCTGGATCCGTGCACACAGCTGGCCCCTGACTAAGCACAGTTAAAGGTGCGCAAACTGAGCACCAGCCTTCTTCTTCACGCAGCATTCATTAAATTGAAGTCAAAAAGAATTTGAAAGTATGCATTGAGACTGTCGAAACACTGAGCAAAACACCTAAGTAGGCCGTGGAACCAAAAAAACACCGGACGTTTTTATCCACAAGGCTACAGAGATACTCGATTATTCGCTGTCATCAGTCACCGATACGCAACCTCGGGGATGCGACCGCGAGAATGATATTAGCCTGTGTGTACATGCAGTGTACCCTCAGTTTCAGGGCAAAGCGAAGCGGTTACGCCAGTCCTGCCTCGACCAGGGTACAGCGACGCGCACCACTCTCATCTAAGTACGCTCGACCTCGGCTGAGATGACGCGATGCCGTGGGCGCAATGATGAGGACGTTGCTCGATTATCAGTTGACTTGGGTAATGTATAGTAGGTGTGCAGTCTGGGCCTCGACACTGACTGACTACAGACAGTAAATAGGTCCAAAAGGGCCACACCAGTGTCCCGTCTTTACTTTTAAAGATATTTTTTCCACTACGGACTGCTTGTCACTGTGTGGCTGTTTGAGGGGACTGTAGTTCGTCAGCATCCAATTCGTTCACTGCGGCAAGCGAAAATTCCCGGCCCTTCCCAACAACGGTGGAGTTCTCCAAGGGTCTATATTATCTCCTCACACCTCCTCCCTCCACACTGGCGACCTACAATCGCCAAACGAATGTTTGTCTGTTAAATATGCTAAGGATACGATTGTTAGCCATCCCCTTAAAAGTCAGATACATCTCCAAGTACTGAAGGATGGCTTGGACCACGTCTCAGCATGGTCGTCAGCAAACGGATTTGTACTTAACGACCGGAAGTCAGTCCAGCGTATGTTTCGACTGCAACCCTCTCCTGGTCCTGAAAATGTTGACATTCTGCCCAATAAGGTATCCTCTTTCCGGTACCTTGGTGTTACTCTGGCAGCTGACCTCTCATTTACTCTTCATATAGAAGGCATTTTTATAAAAATCCGCAAACTTTTATATTATATCCACCGCTCGCGTATATATCGCACACCGCAAGCCCTAATTTGGCGATTTATAGATGCCTGCATTCCCGTCTCACTCTTAACTGATCTCCAGTTATTTTAATTAAAAAAAACCTGTTCATTATTAAACGTTTCCTCCGAATACTGTCTTCGGCTGCCGGTGTTTCCTATGCCTTTTTAGCTGACATTACAATACAGCGAGACTTTAAAACAGTCAAGCAATTTGCTGATCGCATCCCTATTGAGGTCGCTCACCCTCTCCACTGTGAACTAATGACTGCGAAGTCTTCCCGTACTATACGCCGAAACGTCCGTCATGTCTTGCCGTACATTAGCATATCAGCACTCTGTAGTCCCATTCCTAGCACGCTACCTGACGTGTGAAGAAATGGAAATTGAGAAGTTGAAAGCTGACCTGTCTCCATAACAGATGCGGATATCGTGCAAACCTTTTACCATGACTCCTTACCTTACCTTATCCCTGCTCGTCGTGAATGGAGCCATTTTTTGCTGAAAATTTTGGATATTACCTTCAAAATATAGCTTTCTCTCGCTAAAAGCACCACTTCATAACAAAAAC